AAAAAAAAAAAAAAAAAAAAAAAAAAAAAAAAAAAAAAAAAAAAAAAAAAAAAAAAAAAAAAAAAAAAAATTAAAAAAAAAAAAAAGAAAGAAAAGAGGCAAGGAACAACAACAAAAAAACTTTTAGGTGAAGGTTCAAGACAAACTGCCTGAAGGGAAACTCCTGGGCCGTGCCCGGAGCGCAGCTGCCGGCGCCGAGCCCGCTCGGGAGCGATGCGATTTTTGGGACGGAGGGGCGCGGGTCTCCGGACCGGGGTCTCCGCCCCCGGCCCCCTCAGCAGCCTTCCTCCTCCTCCTCCTCCTCCTCCTCCTCCTCGGGGCTTTCCTCCCCTCGCCCTCCGTGCCTCGGCGGCCGCTACAGGACAGCTTGCATTCCCGAAAAACCCGTGTATTGCCCCGTTCTCCCGGCGGAGCCAGCGCTGCGGGCACCCCAGCCCCCCGCGGCACAGCGGCGGAGCGCGGCTCGGTCGGAAATAAAGAAATAAAGAAATAAACAGCAGGACGCGGCGCGAGTTCGTGCCGGCGCTGGGAGCCGGGCGGGGGCTGCCCCTGGCGGCTCCGAGCGCGGGGCCGCCGCCGAAGTTGTGAGGCGGAGGGAGCCGGGCGCGACCCGCGACCCCCGCCCGGGCTCTTTGTTACCGGGGCGAGCCCGCCTGCCCGCTCCCTCCGCCGCGAACTTTGTGAGGGGCGGGGGGGCGATGAGCACTCACTTCTCGCGGGCCTGGCTGTCGGACGGGACGCTGCTGTTGCTCTTGCCTTTGCCGTACATGCCTGCGGAGAAGCTCCCGACTGTCACGCACCTGTCAACCCATCGCCGCCTCCCCGGGACCGGCCCCGTCGCCACGGTGACGGGCGCCACACGCGCCCGCCATTGGCCGGGCCCGCCTCCCGCGCCGCTGATGGACGGGGCGCGCATCCGGCCCCGCCCACCCCCCGCGCGCGCCGCTCCCGCCCCGCGCCGGGGGGAATTAGAAACCGTTCGAGGAGGATTTTTAAACAACCGGCTGTTCCCGGCGCCCGCCGCGCCCCCCGCCGCCGCGCCGCCGAGCGGGGAGCGCGCGCCGGAGAGACGCAAACTGCGGGGCGGACTCGCGGCCGGCCCGGATTGCGATCCGCGCCGCGTCCCACGCGCCCCCCCACAAAAGCGCACCCCGAGGGTCTCTCCGCACCCCTCACCCTCTGGGGGAACAGACACCCCAGCCACGGGGGACAGAGAGCCGGGAGAGGGCTGGAGGTGGGGAGGAAACATTTCCTGAACTGAAGCAGCGTAGCTTAAAAATAATATTAAAAAATAATATTAAAAAAAAAAATAAAACCCACCCACGGTCTGAGGAAAATTCAAGGAAATGCTTTGATTTTTTTTTTTTTTTTAAGTTACATGGCAATAATTGCGTGCTCCGCAGAGACGGGAGAGAGAGAGAGGGAGAGAGCGAGAGCAGCCACTGGGGCCATTTGTTACTTGATTTCTCTTTTTTTTTTAAGTACCCGAAGGTCTGGAATTTTTTCCGCTCTTCCTCCTCAACCACAGTCCCAAATTTTGCAGATATTGATGCCTGCTTATGTTTAAACTGCGGCTAACCTAAACCCACTCCCGTGTGTGACCCTAGGGAGGGGGGCTCTCTTTTAGTATTTCGATGTTTCAAGTGTGTAATGCCAAACTCTTTTTTTTTTGTTGTTGTTTCCTTTTGGACAAACGCACCCAACATTCACCTCCCAGTCGTGTTGGCAGGCAAATGTCAGGAACAACCAGGACCACGGAAAACCCGACCAAAAATTCAAAATTCGAGCAGGGAAGTTGTGCCAGACGTAGACCACCAGCATCTGTTTATCATTGCTGGAGCTGCAAGGGGAAAAAACATCCTCTGGATGCTGAGCTGCCGGAGCGGAGGGAATGGTTGGTGAGGTGAAACTGGGAAGGGGGGGATTAGGAGAGTATTAATGAGCGGCTGGAACAAATTAGCGAGGGAGTAGCAGAGACAACAGGAAGGAGTGCGAGAGGCTGGGGAATCCGAGGTGCTTGTGGCAGTTCCCTGCCCGGCGTGGGATGTGCGTGCTCTTGGAACCCACCCCGACAATTCATCAGATTGAAACACACGGCAACAAAAGCCATTTTGTGCCAAAGTTGGTTGTCTTGGGCTTTCACCCCATGACATGATTTTTTAAAAATATTTTTATTAACAGCATGAGAGTGTGGTTGGAGTGGATCTAAGGAGAGAAGCAAATTAGGCTGACATCATTCACCCTGGTTGGGACCGAGGCTCCTGCTCCCGAGTTACACCCGGGAAAGCAGAGGAAGCGGGTTATGGTGTGAGGAGAAAGTGGGAAAGGAGAAAAAGAGGGAGGAAGGAGTGAGTGGAAGGGAAGGAGAAGCCGGCAGAGGAAACGAAGGACGAGGAAGCGAAGGATGCGAAAACGGGGGAGCAAAGTAAAAGCACGGTGCGCAGTGAATTTTAGGGGGAATGAGCAGGGAGACAGCCTGAGAAGTTACTGCAGGGTGAGCCAAAGGGAGGCGTTTATCCCGCTCTGGGGCAGAGGAATTGTCACAAGTGCCGTGCCCCGGCGCTGAGGTGGCGGCCGGGCGCGGCTGGTGGCCCTCGGGGCAAGCAGGACACGGCTCAGAGACAGGCAGGGAGAGAGGGAACCAGGGCAGAGAACAAAGAAGCACTTGGGCTGTGGGTACGATTTAAAAGAAGGTGGCTGAGGAAAGGAAAGGAGGGAGCGTGGACATCCTTGGTCAAGCCTCAGCGGTAGCTGGAACTTTGGTACAGATCGCCCGGAGCAGAACTTGGATCCCAGTGTTTGCTCGCCCTTGGGAAGGGCGGGATCACCCATCAGGAGGGATGAGTAGCTCCTCTCCAAGGCTCCCCTCTGCCCCCCGTCAGCCGTGGTATCAGCAGGGCTTTCACACGAAACTGATAAAGGTGGCGAAATCCTTCCTCCAGAAGCTCTCGTTTTGTTTGCCTCAATGGTTTTGTTGATTTGTTTGTGGTTTAAGGGTGGGGGATATTTCGGGAAGGCGGCTGCGTCAATGTTGTGTCAGCCCTGCGAGGGGAGAATTCTTCTTCTTGAAAAGGACAATGTTGAGGTGTTTCCTAAAAATGCGATGGCGAGATAGCTGCAACGTCCTTTGGATATGCATCCCAGGACGGGACGTTCGCAGCTGAAAATGCTTTGTTTCCCGTTTTCCATGTGGTTTATTTGCATCCCCGTGGTTTGTTTTGGCCTGAAGGGCCGCCAATGGGTTGTGCGGCTCGCAGATCAAACTGTGATTTTGGGGCAGAGCGGGATGAGCTTCGGGAGGGAGGGAATGAGCCCTGGGACGGAGCAGGCCTGGCGCCGCGAATGTGAAACGTTGGATGTTAAAAATTCTCTTCACAGGTCTGCCTCCCAAGCTACCTAATATTAACATTCAGGTGATGACTTGGTAATTTTGCTTAGAGATCCTTCAGCGGAGAGCGCAGGAAAGGCGCTCACCCTCGTTTGTGGTGGGTGTGAAAAGCGGGGCGCAGGGCTGGGGTGATGCTCCGGAGGAGGATCGCGGCCCGGGGTGCGATCCACCAGCGCCGGACAGCAATAAGTACAGATAACTGGGGTGAAAATAAGGCAGTTAATTAAAATAAGCACCGACAGAACCTCCCCACCAGCGTGGGGAGAAAAGTTCGCTCAAGCAGGCAGGAAAATGACCACGGAAACCCAGCCGAGCGGTGTTCCCCAGTGCCGTGTGTCGGGAATTCTCCCTCGGGGCAGAGTGGCCGCGCACCCCTGCCCTCGCTCCGGTCACTCCCAGCACAAACGCCGCTCTCAGCAGGAGCAGTTGGATCTCATGAGGCCAGCGCTGTAATTAATGAGATTTGAGGCGCGAGCGCTGAGACAAAATTCGAGTTTCCAGTGTCAGGAATGAAGATCCAGCCTTTGTTACAGAAGGGGATGAGGGGTGGCAGTACTTTAAAGCTTCTCAGGCCGACACTGGAAAGGAATTCACAATGTATTTTTAGAGTGTTATAAAAATCTCTTACATAATGCTGATTAATTCTTCGGTTTTAGGGAAGAGCACTGGGCTTTGTGTATAAGAGTGTTGACCAACTAAGCCACTGAAAAGGGCTGGTTTGGGCTGGATTTTTTCTTCCCCTTTAACTTTTTCTTGGATACAGAAAGCTGCAATTATTCAATTATTACAGGATTTTGCTTTTTGTTTGGGCGTATTATGAATATTATTCTGGAAACTGCGCCTTATTCTTGGAAGTCTTTATCATTTTAAAACATATGTTATGTTATATCACCCTGTCTAAGATATAGGATAGCTCCAAACTGGGTGGGTTTTGGTGGTTTTTTTTCCCTCTCTCTTGCTGCAGCTAGTTACAGTATGGATTAATGTTAAGGATGTCTGCAGTGAAACATTGCTTGTGTGGCTGACTTAAACAATGTCACATCACAGGTTCACAGTTTTATTGATACAGTAATACCTACAATTACTTTGTATTTCTGCCCATTCTGTTGGTCCTCAAAAATCATTGATTAATCCAACCGGCAGGTTTCACACAGCCCTTAACAAAGGGCTATTCAGGAAATTAAGTCAGTAAATGCTACTCCCTTATTTTAATTCCAGTTATCTGTACTTATTGCTGTGTAGCAATAAGATTTTTTGGGCAAGATATCATGGGAGAGAGACGCTTTTGTTTGGTCTTTTTCAACAGATACGTGACCGAAGCAGCTTTGAAGCTTTTTCTGAGGAATCCTTCATCCTTCTGTAGAATGTTTAATCTTCCTGTGGAGTGTCTAACTATGAGACTCGTTCTGCAGACTTTCATTCTTGTGCCATACAGATGAGCAGGGGTTGCTCAGGTGATTGAACGGGTCCTAAATCGTTACTGGAGAATGGAGAGAGCAGGAATGCGTAGGTCAAAGCAAAATCTTTATTTGCCCCTCTTTTCCAACGGGGAGGGGGGAAAAAAGTAATTATAGCTCAGGGGTAGGGAGGGATAATCCTTGTGGGTCCCTTCCAGCTTGAGATACTCTGTGATTCTGGATCTCAAAGAAAGGCTTACCAATAACCCAACAACCCCTTGCAGTTTCTGCTTCCAGCAGGAGCCACAATTCCCCCCTGCCCCTGCAGAAGGAGCCAGGATGACTTTGCAGCCTCCAGTCACACAGCTCATCCACGGAGGGGCCGGAGACAGTGCAAATACAACCAGCTGGGAAGCAAAACTTGCTGAGAACAAACCTTCCCCGGGTTTATTGCTCTCGCTGGCTGTGCTGTGGCTGCTCACACACTGCACACGTGTGCAGCTCAGAATGGGGAAATTATCTGTACGGGCACCCAGAGCCACACTGTTAACCTTGCAATGGAAAAAAAAACGTGTTTGTGTGTACTGGTTTCCTCCACTGCTTCTTTTCCTGGTGTTTTATGTGGTTTCAGCCCTCCCTGGTGCTGTTTCCACTGGAGGGGCTGTCACAGCCTCTCTCTCTCACACAGACACTGTGTGTGTGCCTTTGGTGCTGGCTAAGGGTTGAGCTCATGCTGCCTCTCGTGAAGAAAAATTCAAATCCAGTCCTTCCTCTTCTCCCCAGTCACATATATTGACTTCTAGAATGGGAATTGATACTTTTCTCGGTGAAATGCATTTGATAATTGGGGTAAAATTATGTCTACATATATATATATAAACACTCTTAGTATGTGAGATCTCCCTGATTTCATTGGTTAGCTTGTTGTTTTAAGCCATTTGACAGAAATCACATTTTACCAGACAACCCAATCTTTGTGGGGGGAAAAATAGTATGAGGAAAAGTACATTGCCTTAGTTATTAATCATTTGGAGGATAGCTGAAAGTCACCATTGCTGGCTCAGTGATGTGTCACATCAGGAACGTGGCTCCTTGTGCTGTGTGTGGCAATAAACAG